CTGCTCGGCGCGGCCCCGCCCCCGCCATGTTGGGGCCGCCCCCGCCATGTTGGGGCCGCCCGGCCTCGTCCTTCGGGGGATGCGTGGCCGCGGGCGAGCCCGTCTCCTTTTCCGCCCGCATCTGAGGTGTTTTGCCCCTTCCGCAAGCCGGGGGTAACGACGGGCTGCGGGGGCGACCTCGAAGGCAGCTCATCCCGTCTCGTTAATATGCGGGCTGCGCTGTGGGACAGCGGTTCCGCGCTGCCTAGGCGCCTGCTTTGGACGGGCAGGGCATCGCGACCTGGAAATGCGGCGGCTGGGTAAAGAAGGGGGGTTGGTTGGTGCAAGCCGCCGGGGCGAGGCTCTGGGCAGGCCCCGACCTCGTTTGGAGCCCCACCGCGAGTTGCCGCTGCCTCGCGTTTTGACAAGGCGCCGAGCGTCCCTCACGCAAAGGGAGGAAACAGCGGGTTGAGGAAAATAAAGTCAGACGAATCCAGTCTGATTGGAGGCATGACGTAGGCCTAAGCATCAGCTTGTTTTAATAACGCCCTTTATAAAATGACGCATATTAGGACATACTTTATTTACAGGAGCGAAGCAGAGTTTCAGCTCCCCTCGTTTTGCTGCTATTTAACTCTCTTTTTTTGAAATTCGAGAGAGCAGTTAGAAATCGCTGTAGTAAAGGGGGAGAGCCGCCGGATGGCAGCAGGCACACGCACAGACACAAGATGAGTTTTGGTACAGTGTATGGCTGAGATCGCTTTGACAAAGTCATATTTTGCATACAGTAGAAAGTGAGAATATAGAACACGTAAACCATGTCTGGTTACACAAATGCACAGTAATGATGATTTTGGAAATATGAACTTGCCTTGTCTGCTTTTTCAGATAACAAGATACACTAATGTGTTGGTATATTCCTGTACAGCTGCTAGATTTAGTAATGTGTATCTGCATTCTGGAAGTTTAGTGTTACACTTTGTTCAGTGTCTAAAAGTTACAACACTATTAATAAAAGCTTAAAACATAATTACACATGAAAAGTGAAGAATGAAGATCCATACAATGCACATTTCTGTAGTTTTCCTTGATGCATTTCAAGGTGCATTCCTCTTCTACAGCTGTCCAGACACCGGATTTCCAAAATACCTAGCATTAAAAATCATCTTGATCAATTCATATTTCAAAGGCAGTTCTGTATTCTCTAACAGAAATGCTGAACAGTGCTGTAGAAAGCTGGAGCAGTGGTGATGTCCACTATAGGTGCCTGATCAGAGGACCAAATGCGGGCCAGCATATCCCAGCCCTGCTGGCTGCTGCTGCTAAAAGCGTGCAAGTCCACATTAGTGGCAGCTAGATGGAGCTTGGGGGGAAACCACTTAGTAGGGTGTCTGCACAAGACAACAAAATGTTTTGTTAAGAGTTCTTATAAGGAGTGACGGTACTTCAAATCTCATATTCCCTTTTCGGTTCAAGTTGATTGACAAATAGAAACAAGTCTCTCCAGTCCTGAGTTATAGATGGAAAAGTTGAAGGTCAGAATCATACAGCGTGCCATCATCATGGGAAAAACTTTAGTGTCCAATTCTCATCCACTGCTTTACAGATCCCATGCTGGGCTAACAGCATTGCTGAACTTCTGCCAGTATCCTTCTAATTCACTCTGATTAGGGCGGAGTGCCTGCTCAAAGCAATTGTTCTGAGATGTACTATATTGATCCTTAAAAATTCACTCATTAAATGCTTGCATGAGGTCATGATTTTTGTCTGAAACTTGCACTAAATAAAGCAAAAAGAAAAAAGCAAAAAAAAAATTAATAGACCTCTTACTGATAGCTAAGTAATCCAGATATGCCAGTTCTCTAAAAGAAGTTGAAAGACAGCAAATGCTGATCACTGCAGCTGATGTGAACAGTAACACTGGTATAGCATTACCTAAATATTTCCTGCTAAGTTAAACCAAATAGAGTACTCAGAGCTAGGACTTTAGAATACACACCTCAGAGGAACACTAATGCTAGTAGGAATGACTGAATCCATTTTAGTAATAGATAGACAGTTGCTGTTAACAAACAGTTGCTGATGAGGATCCTGGGCAACAAGTGCAGCCCATTGAGTAAGTGTGACACAGTCCTGTGATTAGACAGCTACAGCTGTGTAAAGGCAGAATCAACTGAAATTGCAGTACACAATTCAAGTTAAGAGATATCTCTTTAGACAGCTATGAGAGACGCTTGCTAAGAGTCTAATAGAGTTTGCATTTATTTATTCCAATGTGTTAGTCATTAGGCAAAGCAGGAAAAAAAAAAAGAATCATGTAGTATTATCAACACTTCTGATTTTTCCCTGCAAATCTTTGGGTGAAGTTAGCCTATTCATTAAAGTCCTTGAACTTGAAGTCATGAAGAACACCTAAGGGCCCTAGCTTTCATTGTAAACAACTGAGGTCCTAGCCTGCATGACTGCAGATAAAAACCTGCATTCAGCTGCATGCTAAAGGACTCAAAATCTAATACATCTTGAGTTTGGTAGTCAAATCAGTGTCGGGACTTTTAGAAGCCCAACCCACACTTGAGTGCCTATAGTTAGCAATACTATCTATCATGAATTAAAAACGCATCAAATAAGGAAGCGAAAAGAACAGAATGGTATGGAAATTAGGGAAAAAAATACTAGTAAGCTTTTAAACCACGTTGGTGTCCTAGTATTTGAGTTGGAATAAGGGATTCTGTCCAGAGATTCAAACATGGAAGAGAAACACAGTTGAGTGTGTCTTGCACTAAGTTAGGTATAACTAAATCAAACACAATAGTATGTTGACTGTAAAACTTTACTCAAGTCATTTGCAAAGAAAAGCAAACTGGATCTTTAAAGAACGTCATTTCCTTGAAAAGTACCAAGAAAAATAAACTGAAACTACTTTAGCATTCTATGAATAATGCTCTCGATTATGAACAGGCAATTGCATTCATTATTGACTTTTCAATTAAAAATATGACAACATAACATTTACTGTTTAATATTTTATAATAAGCTGTACAACAGGATCACCAAACATTGTGTATCCCCCAAGTAATTTACATTCATCTTCAGCTTTCATGGAGTCTTTATAAAGTTAAATTTCTCAAAAATTAAGTTCCAAATGAGCTTTAATAAAGTCTGCATAACCAAGCTAGAATTTTTTCACATAAAGTAAATATTCCCGTTTTCCCTGCATTTCAAAAGACATTACTGTTTAGGACTAATTATAGTAGGTCCCTCTAAACGTGCACTACTTAAGTGGAGACTCACTGAAACTACTGAATTCACCGAAATTTTCTGAATACCCTGAGTAACAGCAATCACACTTCAAAGTACGAACCTACTGTCACTGAACTGCAAAAAAACTAACATGTTGATGGATAAGAATACTAAAATATCTCCAATTAAATCATGATTAAGAATGGACAGACCACCACAGCTGAGCATACAGAGTCCTGTCTAACAATCAAGAGGAAATAAAACTCACATTCCCAAGCTTAATTACAACTTTCAAGTATTTGACACACAATTTATGCAGTCTTCTACTATTTCAAAAAGGTAGTGATAAATATCAGTCCTCCTAGCAATGTCAAGGGCAGTTTCATCCAAGTTATTCTTCAGGTCTGGTTTCACATAGCGATTCATCAGCAAAAGTAGGAGGGTTTGTTTACTGTTTTTGTTTCCTGCAGCAATATGCAAGGGTGTCAGCAATCCATTTGTCTGAGCATTGATGTCTGCACCCTGCTGAAGTAAGAATGAGGCCACTTTTGTATTGTTCCACTTACAAGCACTATGCAGAGGCGTCCAGCCGTCCACGGTCAACGCGTGAACATCTGCCCCTTGGGCAACCAATTCTCGTGCAATGTCCAAATGCCCACTGTAGGCAGCTCGATGGAGAGGAGTGTATTGATCTTCATCACGAGCATTAACTGGAGCTAGCTTTTGGGAAAGTAGCCTTCGCACTGTACTCAGCTATGTAAGGAAAACAGATAATTTAATATGAAACACTGCAAGTGAGATGTATGGCTTTTACTGTTATGTTCTAGAAAAGTACTACAAAAAGCAAGTTTCTGTAGTCTCCAAAAAGCTTAGGTGCAACGTAAAATTTAAAAACAAAATTGTTTTTTCATCACTGGTTCTTTTAGAGATAAAACAGGAATTTTGGTCTTTTCTCCCCCACTTTAAAGAACAACAAGTTTTTCTGCACTAACAAGATAGGAAAGCAGACATTGAATTCTCTGTATATGTAGCTTTGATGAAAATAAACACAATTTTAAACACACGCCTTTCATCCCTATTAAAAAGCTTACTTTCTGTGAAGAAAAGTCTTGCATGCTTTTAGTTTCTGTGAAGAAAAAATCTTGTATGCTTTTAGTTTATAGCACGCTGTAAACACGTCCAAGTGCTGCTACTTGAACTACGATCAGAGCTTTTGTTCTGAAAACTAATTTACCCAGGGATGGGTGGCTGGCTGGCTGTGACTGTACCAAAAACAGACACCTTCTATACGGAGCGGCTTGCAAAACCTTGACAAAAATAGTTTAGAGAGATGAAATAAAGTATATGTAAGGTTTTTGCTGGAAGAAATTATAGATATCTATTCAAGATAACATTATTGTCAGTGATACAGATGAAGAAAATGAACATCTTACCCGGTTGTTTTCAGCTGCCCAGAGCAGCAATTTCTCTGGATTTTTTTCCATTTTTTTCTCTTGCATTTCATACCATTCCTCACTTTTTTCTTGTTCGTCCTCTTCATCTTCAGACTGCCCCGACCAACAACTCTGAGTTCCTACAGGAATCAAATGCCTGTGCGTTTCCAGCAGTTCCAGTTGGTTAAAGTTCTCCGTAAAATCCGCTAACGGCTCGCTGTCCTCGTCCCTTCCCTCAGCACCCTTCTCGTCCAAACGCTTGCCTTCGCTCATTTTCGCCTAGCGTCTCTAACAACCAGATACGCGATATTAACGTTTTTCCCTCTGTTGCTACCGTCGCGATTTTTCTCGCGCGCTCTTTCCAAAAAAACCTTTTTTTTTCCCCCTCTGAAACACAAAATTCCCCCGGGATTTTTTCCACGGTTTCGCTGTCGAGCGGCAGGAGTCAAGAAGGGCCTATGTTTCTCCTCTGGCGCGTCACCAGCGCTCCCTGTTAACGCCGACCGCTCGGCAGCCGCGTCGCCTTCAAAGCCGCACCACAAGAGCCGGCAGGGCTTCGGCACACCGCACTTG